TCTGTTTAAATTGAATGTGAGCTTCATGTGCTATTGTCCTGCCTCAAGCAATCTACTTCATTGCTGCCCTAACTACGCCTCTGTCCAGACAATTATAACAAGCGCGACACTTTTTCCCCCCAAAATACTTACACGCGTGTGCCTGTGTATGTACATAAGTATCTGAACTGTCACTTTCCGTTCGAGTTGAGTGATTTCAATCTGTCACAGGAATTTTTATTATTTTTTATATTATATGCTTGATTCCACCCTTGAGAGGAGATTTTCCTGAATTAGAGTACATATGGCAGGATTAAAAAATTGTGAAAAAAGGAAATAGAAAACAAGGCAAGCATAAGTCTGCATTACGCTTGGCATACTGAACTCGCTGTTGGTTAATTAATTGTGAATGGGCTTTTTGCTCCTGAACGAGAATTTTCCGCATCAGCCTGACAAACGCAGGTCAGTTAACAAGAAAGAAAACTTATAATTCCGTCTCCAGACGTTGGAAGTTCTTATCAGACATTGCGCTGTCAGAACAAGTGCGAAAGTTTTGGCATTCATATGGAAAGGTATACCCTAACTTTTCACTCACTCCCCCCTATGGACTGGAATGATTTTGAATCCACACATTTTGACGTACTAGCCTAGCTCCCATTGAGTTGGCTCAAGGGTCACTTGTCTAGAAGCAGACCGTAAATTGACAGTAGCGCCCTTTTCTGAAGCAGTGGTACTCATACGTGCAAGCTCATCAGAATTGCAGTTCCCAGAAATTCTGCAATATGATTCTAACTCTGAAATAACTCGACGCCAAAGACAGTGATTTTTGAGCACACCACGAGTTAGCGCAAGGTTATACTAGACTTCTGCCTATTAAATAAATGTTCGCCAGTTTAACAGAAACCAACCCGAGGAATAAAATGTACTGGAAACATGAGACATGAAGTCCCGCGCCGACCTTTCTGTCAAGTTTCGATCCATCCATTCCGGTCTCCCTATGGGATTATGGTTGATACTCGTGATATGTATGTTTTAATTTTTCTGGGATCGACTGCAGGTACTGTAAGATCTGTCAAATACCGCTATTGAGGCTTTGCTGGTTGAAGATCCATGTCTACCAGAGGAAACAATCGACTACAACTAAAACGTTATATGCTTTAAAACGTACAGAAATCACCAAAAGGAGAGATAAGGTGATTTTAATTTTACAACATGACAACGCTCCATCTGACAATTGGCTTTTTCGACGGACTCAAAACGATTTGGAGGTCACCCGTGCGGGTATTTTAACAAACCGGAAATGGCTAAATGTTGGATCAAAAAAAAAAAGAGAGGATTAATTTTTTGCAAATGAAAATTATCTAAGAAATCGGAAAAGTTATTCGCTCCAGACGGGCAATACTCTGAATCATGTATTCTTTTTTTCTTTTTTTCAATACACGGGACACTTCCTTAAACATATAAAATTGACCGATTTAACTTTTACACCCAATATTATTATTTTTTTTAAAAGAAAGTAATCTAAAAAAATTAAATTAAATAAAAATCTAAGTTAAATTTTCAGTCGCCCCTCGGCAAGGAAGGTCAACTTCTCCGAGTGTATTTCTGACATCATAAAAAATCATCGCAATGACCTGAACATTTCTAAGTACTCCACTTTTTTTTCTCCTTAATTCTTGACAGATAAAACAACAACTTCTACAGAATACATATCGCAGATGTGATATCAAAGCATCAGTGGTAAAAAACAAATTTATGAGAGAGCATAGTGACCTCTAATACTGCTAAAACGCTCACTATTTTTTTTTTTTTACTTTATTCCACTTCCAAACTAGTAACAGTCAAAAGAGTTTAGAGGTAAAAGTGGTTTTAACATAGTTATGTCAATTAAGTGACTAAGAGAAAATAAATATATTTGAACTTTTCCGGATTGGAAGAAACATTAGCTCAATGGATCTATGCGCATTTAAACAGTTTCTATTAGAAACAAATTTTCACCGAGAGCAGCATTTTTTCTCAAGCATATGTTTCATATTTTTTTGAAACAGTAGATAGTTTTTAAATTGGCCTGTGTGATTTCGTGACATCATACTTATTATAACTTCTGAGCATTGGGGTTATTTTAGGTTTTTTTTCAATCTCATCTATGTGATCAAAATGAATGACGAGAAGGACATGTTGTGATTTAACAGATTTAAAAATAAATTATTGCTGCAAAGTCATCTATATAAATGATTTTAAAGGAATTTAAAGTTTAGATTCTTCTCGGAACATACTCTTCAGTTGAAATGAACAGTCCAAAGTTGGTGAGGATTCGATGAAAGAACAGCATAACAGCATGCTATGCACGCTACAACGCTGAAGTTTGAGCAGGAGCTTCGCAGGTCAAAGAACTAAGTCAAAATTGTATCCATCTAGACCTTTTTAAAAACGTCCTACACTACGTGTTTTAACTATAACTCGAATTAAACTGGATCTCCATCTGGCACTGCAAACGACTGACAGTGCTATCCGTGGCCTAACACCCAGACAGCATAACCCAATCTAACTTAAATCACAAAAACTTACCTTTATTAAAGCAAAATATTATAAGAAAAAAATTCTCTCCATTTTAGCACAATTTCATATGTAATATTTTTATTTATTCGATTTAGTGAAAAATATAAAAAAATATAATATTAATGTGTATTCGCTTACAATAAGAGAGTAAAAAATAAACAATAAATATTAGATCATCAATTAGTATCGAGTTAACGATTATCGCATAATTCATTTCTTTTCTTTCTTTGTTTTAAATTCACCTTAATTTCTAAATGAATTTCATAAATTCATAATTAAGAATGTATAGTATTTGAGTATGTACGTATGTATAATGTGTATGCATGAGTTTAGTGATATTTGACAGTTTTTAATAAAAACATATGTAATAATTTTAATATAATTTGTTATAAAATAACCGTTGGGGTTTGAAGTAAAATTGAGCAGAAGTAGTAATAATGATATATAATATAATATAATATATGTATGTAACTTAACTCATGACAATAATACTCAAAGTAAAGCAAATCGTAAATAAGCTCAAGCTGGTTATTTCATAAAAAATTTGACTTACACAATAATTAAATATAATGTTTATAAACAGAGCGCTTTTATATAGGAAACATGAATATGAGAAATTTATCTAATTTATAAGCAGTTAAAAAATAAACATATTTAATTTGAATAAAAAAAAAATTAAGGAACTTTGAGCAATTAAAATGGAGCAAAAGTTGTGGCAATTTGTTATTGGAATAAAATTAATTTTACAAACAATTTTCTTCATATAAAAAATTTATTTTTCAAACATATTTTTATTATTATTAAAAAACTAAATTTTCAAAAAACTGTTTATTATCAGTAAAAAAATTAAATTTTCGTACAGATTTTTTATAAATTAAAAAAAAAATTAATTTGTCAAACTATTTTTTTTTATTTTATTAAAAGAATAATTTATTAATTAAAATTGAATTTATATTTGGCATAACAAATTAATTTCATATTAAAAATTTCTTTAAATCAATAATTAACACAACAAAAAGTTGAAATAATTTTTTCATTAATACACAACTGATTGGTAAAAAAAATTATTTTGGAAAATAAAACAAAAATTGTTGCAATTCATTATAAAAAAATAAAATTTAAAAACACAAATGTTTAAAGAAATATTTACTCAATATAGTAATTTATTAAATAAATTCGAATTTGACAAAAAAAAATGTATTACAATTTAACGCAATAATCCATACTTTTAAATGTGAATTGTTGTTGCAAATTATTATGAATTATGAATGAAAATTTATCTTGTGAAGAAATTAAAAATTTATTTAAAACAATATTTTAAAAGTTAAAATTAAATTTAAGTTTGTTAAAAGAAAATACTTTTTTTATTTAAAATTTTATTTAATGCAATAATAAAAAGAAATATTTTTTTTTTTAATAAAACACAACTGATTAAAAAAATATTTGTGAAATTTAGAAAAAGAAAGTGATTGCAAAGTATGCTTTAAAACACGAAATTTTCAAACAAACAAATTAATTTAAAACAATAAATTTAAAGTTTTAAATATAAATTTGATTTTATTTATATATAATTTTATTATTAAAAGTTAATTTAAATCATTAAAATGAAATTTAATGTTTGTTTAAAACACAACTAACTGGTATAAAAATATTTTTGAAAATTAAACAAAAGTTGTTGCAATTTACTTTTAATAAAAATACTTAAAATAAAATTTGAATTTGATAAAAAAAAATACATATTTTAAATAAATTAAATAATATTTCATTTAATGCAATAATACAATTATTAAAAAAGAAAAATAAATACTAATTTTTTGATTAAAATTCAGCAGTATTTCTGAAATTTAATTAAAATTGGTTGGAATTTGTTATTAAAAAATTATTTGTTTATATTTAACTTTATTTAAAAAAAATTTTATAAAAAAAAAAAAATTTATTTTTAAACAATTATTTTGTATATATTTTTTTTAGAAAAAACTTTATTTAAAGCAATATTTTATCAATAAAATTTTAAATTTTATTTGACACTGATATGTGATATTTGATTAAAACAATTTATTATAAAATAAAATAAATTTTTGTAACGAATTTTTTTTTAAAACTTTATTTAAAAAAATATTTTATTAAAAAAATTTAAATTTGGCAAAAAAAAAATACTTTTATTGCTACAATTTCATTTAATGCAATAGTACAATAAGTAAAACAACACAAAATAAATAAGAATTATTTGATTAAAGCACATTGGACTAAAACAAAAATATTTTTGAGTCATTAAACAACTAATACAAAAAAAAAACACAGGAATCAAACGTTACATAGTTCAAGTACTTATTGCATTCAAATTATCCGCTGCTTCGTCTCACTCTGCTTTTTTATTATAAAATTAGCGCCACATCTTAGCACCGTTATCACGTCAATTCGGGCATGTTTTGGTTAATATCTTTAGTTTTAGATAATTTTAATTTTTTCTTGTTAATATTCAAATTAATGTGATTATATAAGTTAATTAATTCATTTATTTTTTCACAGCGTGTGTGTTTCAGCTTGAAGTGTTAACAAACGTGGTGTTTTAAATATTAAAAGTAGCATAGTCAAGGACCTTTCTTCATTACAAAATTTCGAGAGATATTTATGTTTTGATTTTTTTTTTTTTTTTTTTTTTCTTAATTTAAAAAGGGCAGTCAAGGCTCATGCTATATATGTATATATTCCACATTTGACACTTGTGAAGTGTTATTGCGTATAAATTTTTAGCAAAATGCTAAGCTCCGATTTTATTTTGAAAAAATATGCCACTCATTTAAGTCTTCTCCTTGAGCAAAGCAATTAGGTGATTCTTCTTGGCTTTCTCGGATTTACTATATTCATCCAGGAACTGTGGCAAAAGTGGGGTAAAAGAAGTAGTTATTAGTATTTTTTTTTTTTAATAATAAAATCAAATAAATATTCTAAAAAAGCAGATACATATTCATTTTTCCATTTTTTTGTTTTCTAAAAAAATTTACTTAAAAAATAATAATTAAAGTTGCTTAGTTTGTTCAACAATATTTTTGCACATCACGAGTTGCGTCCAATATTCGGTCGACATAATTCAGCACCAACCAAAGACACGTTTACTGCTGTAGAGCAGAGCATCGAAGAAGAACCGAGTGAGATCATCCTCCATCACGAGCAACAATTACAGATGAGTGCATTTACTTTATGAAGGATTTTGCTGAACGAACTTGGTTTGCGGGCTTGCAAAGTACAACTTGTGAAAGAATTGAAGCCACGTTCGGTGAGGGGGTGTAAACGAGTTTTTTATCGACAAAGTGAATTTTCGGTACTTATTTCTTCAAAATTGGAGCCGGTCATAATGCTACAGAATATAAGAACGACGACTTTCGGCAAACGAAAAAATCAGATAACTAAGGAAATTTTCGGTGAGCGGATTATCTCGCTTTGGGGGCCTGTGGCTTGGCTTATGACATCGTGCGAAGTAACACTGTGAAGTCGCTTGCCTATGCAGTTCAACCCGAGACGATTGGCGCCTTGGAAAAGATGTTCGGCGAGTTATTGCTGTTCGAAAATTGAGTTTCTGGGCGGGAGTTTGTTTGAACTACATGTCAACACACCACAAGTTTGCAATCAATAATGAAGTATTTCAGCATTTCCTGCAGCTTATGGGTCGAGTTTGGTAGCCATGGTTAAGACCAAGCCCATAGCTAATAGTCGAAAGTGCTTCTAACTGACTGATCAAAGTGGGTATGCCAGATGAATAAGGTGGATAGATGGATTTCCAGAGTAGGCAAAAGGCCTACGATGCGATCCTGTGGTGACCCGTTTTAAATATCATCCCCGGAAGTAGGTGCCTTTCGCCTTAGGGAGTCAAAGCAATTGAGAAACGCTTAAACGATACATCCTTAATTTCGGTACTTGGATTCTCTCGCAGATGAACGGCCAGCGTGATTACTTCACAAAATATTACACCCTTATTCAACGTCAGGATTCTCCAGTGATATTGTGTATCGCCGATATCTGCAGGTGTACAGACAGCGGTCTGCTCAGAGGAAAGCTGTAAGCCAGATGTACTAGATATTGGGAGAGTTTACGCTTGAAAGCAATAAGATATATCACTGATCACTGTCTATTAAGGCGGCACGAAAAAATTTCTATGAGCTTTCTGTTAGTAAGTCTCTGTAGGTCACGCTGAAGGGGACATAAAAAGAACGAGCAGGAGGAAACAATCACTAATTTTTTAAGTGACTTTTCAGGCCTAGGCTGATCTAGAGGTATGATCGCTGACATCAATGTACCGAGCGAAATTGAAATTGATTACTGAATGGAGGACGGAACATTTTGGTATAAATAAAATCATTTCCCTCACAAAAGTGGCTTCTTCAACCTAATTTGATATATTTGAAGAGGAATAGGAAGCCTGTGTTTACCAAGAGACAAGATCTCGTCTTGATTATGAGAGACTAGCAACAGTAGTGAACTAATGAGTTTATATTTAATCTACAAAAGTACCAACCAAAGCTCTATTAATGCACCTATCGTGGATTAAAGGATGCTGTATTTAGTGATATCTTTTAGATCATACATAAAATATGCGGGTATGTTATGTATATTCCCAATTGAAAAAATTGAAATCACTTATCACCTTCAGTTAGCATTTTAAGTAACTTCAGAGAAATTTTAAATTTCTGGGTCATCTTTTAAACTTATATACCGTCAGAAACCAATCGTAGTGAATATAGTAAATCTTATGTATCTTCCCTTTTTAGTAAAATTATTTAAAATTTGTACAAATATATATTTTTTTTGTTAAATAAATAAATTTTCCACTTTGAACTTACTTCTAAATTAAAATCACGTGCTATCACATTGCGAGCATTCGCATTTTGGAACGTTATTGTGACCAAGCAGGGATAAACGACCACATTCAAATGTTCAGGTAATTTGGTTAAGCTCTTAATTATAATGGAACATTGTTCAGAGGTGAGTAGATCCTGGTTTTTTTAATTTTTGAATTTTTATTGCACGGGTCGAGTAGATGATGGTAGCGTTGTGGAGAGAAAGAAAAATGCAAGAAAGAAAGTTAAATATCAGTAGAAAAAAAAACATTTTTAAATAAATAATAACAAATATATAAACATTTTAAAAGGTAAAAATACTCACTTGATTCTTCTTGTTGTTGGCACAAAGGAAACCTATTGTTGCTATAAGATCAATAATCACAGCTTGTGTTTCACTATTTTTGGCTGCCGAACATTTATTGCCGCAATATTTGAGCAAAATCGTGACAACATCGAGGAATTTTAAAGAGAGCGTTTCGCTGGACATAACATCCTAAGGAAGAAAGATAGACAAAGAGGGGAGAAAATAGTTAACAAGCAGTAAATGAGTCTTAAGAACAGTCATTTTCCTTTTTTTTGATTGTATGTTCCAGCTTTCCCATTAAAATTTGTTTTATTTCGATTTATTTAATTTTTTCTATTTTATTCGTTTCTTTAACTTCATTTTATTTAATTTAATTTTATTGTAATTTATTATATTGGATTTGAATTTAATTTAATTTTTTTCTATTTCATTTGATTTATTACTTAATTTAAATTATCTTTATTTTTGTAAAGCTTTTTTTTCAATTTTTTTTTCTTTTAATTTTTATATTTTATATTTAATTTATTTTATTAATTTAATATTTAAATATATATTTTATTTTACTCTATATTTAATACATTTAATCTTTATATTTGCTTACAATTTTACTTATTTTGAATTTTATTTTTCCATTAAATTTACTGCAATCAACGATTATTCCAAATTGTTTAATGTAATTATATGGCATGATCTCAGTAACGCTGCTTTCTGTATGTCCACAAAGATTTGATCTGACAAATGGCATTTTTTGAGGTTTTCTTTTAAATTAATATGCACAAGGCCGTCCGCAGAGACGATGATTGGGAGCAGACAAACTTTGCTAAATTTCCATTGACGTTTCTCATTTAAGCTTAAGTCCGAGTACTCTACGATTTTTTTCGGTATATGCTTTTTGCATATTTTTATCGAGAGGGATAGCGGTCAAATATGAATGTAACCATCCTAGGCTTTTCGACCACATATATATCTTTCCTAGCTGGTGTCTCTCGAGCCAGCTGTCAAAAGGGTCATAATAAATAAGCACGCTGGAATCTTCGTATACAGGTTCCGGAATATATCAGCAGTACTTCTGCACAAGTCGTTATATAATCTAGAGTTTCGCTTCTACTATTTTATGTACGACATCTGTTTCAAGCGGCGTTCAAGTCTCGAATCGCATGCTTGGCATTATTTTTGGTGAGAACGAATCCATCTTTCCTCGCAAAAATGGTGACTTCCGTTTCAGCGAATATTGCCCTGTTTGTAAGCTCAACAAGTTATTCCGCCATTGACTACCATTTCAGACCGTGTCTAAAGTTTTTCTACTTTCATAATGCTGATTTATTCCTAGTTATCATCAGTGGATTTTACGTTCTGATGGATCTTTGACTGTGATGATTAAAATTTGTTTGTCATGCAGCGCTCCAATGTCTATTTAACCCTTCCGCCATGCTTTCTGACCAATGTCGTACGAAACAGCGAAGACATGGTGGGCCTGACTGTACGAATTAGCCGCTGCATATCCCCCAGGTCGGCTGATGACCATTGTATAAGTTCGAAACTATGCGATACCACAGCTATCGCAAACGAGTTAACGGTATATATATCTCATTTATTCCATTTATTTTAATTTCACATAAATCACTGCGTCGACTTCTAAACTTCCAGCTTTTCGTGTCTGAATGTAATAATCAGTATTATTTTTATGTGTCCTTTTCTATTTTCTTTACATTTCTATTTTTATTTAATTTAATTTTATTTTTATTTATTATTATATTATATATTATATATATATTTTAATTCTTTTTATTTTATTTTTATTTTATTTTTTTTTTAATTTTTTTTTTTCTATATATCCATATTTTATTTGATTTAAATTTTTTTTAGTTTTAATTTTATTTGCAACTTTTTTATTTGTATCTGTTCATTATTTCACTTAGTTTAATTTCATTTTTTTTTTTATTCATTTTTTTGTTTTATTAAATTTTTAAATTTTTTTTTTTAATTTTTTAATTCAATTTAATTTTTTTTATTTTTTAATCTTTACACTTTTTTAATTTTAATTTTATTTTATTTTAATTCTATTTTTTGAGTTATTTGATTTTTTACTCCTTATACCAACACTATTTTGTCATTTTCTTGTTACTTTACAATAAAGTATTGTATTTTATTTGATTTATTAATTCCTTTTAGCATTTAATCATATTTCTTTTATTTTAACTCAATAGTATTTTTTTCTATTTTTTAATTTAGTTTATTTCCTATATAATATCCTATTTTATTGTATATCACTCTATATTTTATTTCCTAATTTTATTTACTTTTATTTAATTTAATTAAATAAATTTTTTTTTGATATTTCAGTTAATTAAAAGATATTTTTTATTTGACAGCCGTTTGTGTACTTTTCACTTGAATCAGTTATTTTTGCCAATTAAATGTTTACAACCCACAACCACCCCCTTTTCCCTTAATACGCAGCACTGGCAGAGTCGACGCGCTCGATAGTCAAGTGAAAGCCTTCTGCTGGAAATTTCTATGCTCTGCTTGTATATTTTATTAAACAAACTTTGTTATTTGTTTTAAATTACCGCAAATAGATAAGTGCACAATCGTGCGGCGTCCTAACCAAATTTTAAATGCCAAACAAAAGCGCGAGCGAGATAGAGTTTGACGATTCAATGCCTCTCCACCAACCCACCACCCACCTTGTGAGTGATATGCTCTTGTTGCTCCTGCTCTTGCATATAAATTGGTATGCGTAGAGATTGATATTTGTATTTCTTTTTTGTTGGTTCTGCGTTTCGGGTTGCTGGTATTTGTTTAGCAGGCAGATATAATTTCAGCGTTTACTAGCTTAGCCCGGTAGGAAGGCTAATACGCAAAGGCATTAGAGTGCTCGAAGTTCAACCGATTAAGATGAAATAAATTCAACATATTTCTTACGAAGATATGCATAACTTAGTTGGAATTCACAAAATGAATACAAGACCCAATTATTTCATACTCTTTTTTCTTTTCCTAGGGAATATCTATACCTCTCAGTACATTTCTGGCATTCTCAACAAAACACCAATTTAATACCAGGTTACGGTATTAGCTGGATTATGACGCAATAGTTGACATCAGCAATGAGAGACACGTTTAATGCGTACATAATCAGCTGATAGTCACTGTTGTCTTGTATATTTCGTAGATCATAACGCCTATAACTTAGGGATTGGTATTGTTGGTGGTTAGACTATAAGCATTTATTCACGCCATCTCGATAACGACCTTTTGTCCTATGCTCTCGGATTTTCATTATTCAAGCCTGATTTCTAGAGTTGCCAAAAGTACCTGTAATAAGCTACTCAAACCCGTATAATGTTCTAATATTTCTAGGTGAATTAAGGAAAATGTACCATCATTTAATCGTGAGGACAAGCAGCGTACATAAACTTCAAAGCTATTTAGGGTATTCGAGGGAAAGAAAAGAAATTTTAAATATGCGCACAGCTCAGGGCTGCAGTTTAAAAGATTTAAGCAAGAGGTGACACATATTCCGAAACAGTTTTGGAACGCTGTCCATTTTTAGCGACACGCTGAGCTCCTCATATCAATCGAGTCGCTATAAAAGTTCTTGATTTCCTACAGGGTCTCTTATGTTTATAGATTTGTGTATGAAAGCTCATTGTTCTAGTCTCGTCCTCGCTTTCATCATTGTTGATTTTTGTTGTGATTGTTATTGTTGTTATTGCACTTCAGCAAATAACTTTATTAGGTTTTAATCATGAGCAAAGCAACGTAAAATCAACTTCTACAAGAAATGTATGTATATGCTCATACATAAATATATACACACACACACACTAATCTGTATGTGCATTTGTATGTCTATTTGGCTTCAAACTTAATTTCCGCTGGCGTATTTATTATATACTCAGCTCAGTTCATTTTCTGCCACAAATATTAAATATTTACACAATCAAATGAAATTTTTAGAAGAGATACTACAATTATTTACTTTGCACATAAATTTCAAATTGAAGTCATGATTGCATATATGTATAATGTCAGTATGTACATATGTACATATTACAAATGTATAAATGCATTGAAACTTATTAGTAGCTCTTGCGGAAGCTAAAGTTATGCAACACTATCATTTAGACACCGAAATTATTAATAATTTATAATTTTTTTTATTTGTTTTAATCCGAAATTAATTTGAGTAAAAAATTAAAATAAATAGGAAATTCCTTTTTTCACTCATTTTTGCAAATACATATGTATGCATGTGTGTGTGTGTGTGTGTGTGTGTATTTTGACCCACTACAAATGAGACTGATTTTTACGCGCGGTTGATTCAAAAGGTGGTCTCAATGATTAACATCCTGCCCCGTCCTCCCGACTTGTCAACCGCTCAACGACCTCTCTCTCTCTCTCTCTGGTTCAGCCCCATTGTACGTCATCTAAATTAGTTTGCTCATGGACCACGAGATTGTTGAATGCAGCGATGCATTCATCGAAAAGATACGCAAATAAACATTGGGCATAACAAGTAAACAAGCGAATCCACACACAATGCTAGTAAATATTGACATTTGATGAGAGTACAAAATGTGGTGAAAGCTAAAGATAGCTGACTAGAGGGGAAAATGTTAAAATGAGACACTATAAATTTACTTATTAAAAAAAAATATTCTTTTTTTAAATTAATTTAATTTTTGTCACAAAAAAAAATTTGGCAGAAATAACTTTTTTTTTCAAATAAATTTTGATAAAACAAATTTTTTGCCATAAAATAAATTTTTGTTATAATGAATAGTTAATTAATAAAAAATATTTGTCATAAATAGTTTTTAGTCATAAAATAACTTTTTTTAATAAACTTTTGCAATAAATAAATTTTTGTATGAAATAAAATTTTGTAAACAAATAAATTAAAAAATATTACAACTTTGTAAAAAATATTTTTTTGCATGAAATAAATTCTTGTTATAAATAAATTTTGATTTAAAAAAAGTATTTCTTAAAAAAATTTGTAAAAGTTGATTTTTTTGTTATAAAACTAATTTTTGCTAAAATATAATTTTTGTGTAAAAAATTGTTTGTTAAAAATAAACTTATTTTTTAATTTTTTTTTTTATAAAAATAACATAAAAATAAATATTTTAAAATAAATTTAGGTTTAAAAACCAAATTTTTTTAGTTAAAAAAAAATTTTT